GCAAATAATTTTTTCTTTTCTCCCTGTGGAATTGAAATGGTCTTGACAAATGTAGCTCACTCAGGATATATATCATCTGCTAAATAATACCCCATATTATATATGTGTCTCATTGATTGTATATTGCACATTGGGAGCATGTCCTTCCAAAATATCGTTAAATACGTTGGATTGGTTTAACACATTAATGTCATTGTTTGAACCTGCAATACCAAAAAAAACATGCCAAATCTATAAGTCTTGTGATGCCACTGCTTCAAGCATGATTGTGGGCTTACCATGATCACCTCGACAATATTGTCCTTTCCATGCAACAGGAAAAAATTTCAATTCCCAATGCATACAATAAATGGAACCCAACATACCTGGAAAGCCACGTGACTCTCCCATTTGTAAAAGATGTTCAACATCATTGTTGTTAGGCTTTCTCAAATACTTAGCCCCAAATACAACATTCACACCCTGAGTGAATCTTTGTAAGCACTCAATTGAAGTGTTTTCACCGATTCAAACATATTCGTCTACAAGGTCAGCAGGAGACCCATACGCCAACATAAGAATAGCAGATGTGCATTTCTGCAATGGTGAACGACCCATTTTACCAGTTGCATCGACCCTCATTTGAAAATATTCACCATGATTTCCAAGGGCATCTACAATTCGAAGAAATACAGCCTATGCATTCTGAACCTTCTTCGGAATTGAACATCTGTGTATATTGGATTTTTTGAGAATTAGTCATTGAATAATCGATTATACCCTTCTTCACGACCTCGATCTACCGTTGTTCTTCTCTTTAGCCGAGAGGAACTTCCAGATTGACGTTCATTCTGAAGCTGTTGTTCTTCATCACTGTCGTCCATAAATTCTTCTTCAATCAACTCCCAAAATTCTTGATCATAATTATCTGAATCCATGTTAGTGAGTAAATAATAAGAGAAAAATGAGATGGGAATGAGAAAACAATGACATAAGTGGTAGTATATATAATGGTTTGAATAACGGTTAGTTTGAATAACGACTAGTTTGAATAATGACTAGTTTGTTATAATGGTTTGAATAACGGCTAGTTTGAATAACATAATATTTATTATAATTTAAAGTGGTACTAATGACCATTTTACATAAGTGTTGATAAATTAAAGTGGTACTAATGACTAGTTTACATAGGTGTTGATAAATTAAAGTGGTACTAATGACCATTTTACATAAGTGATACTAACTACATTCCATATTTTTTTTCATCTTATTACAATATTTTTCATGAATATCTCGTTGACTATCTCTCATAGTAGAAGTGTCTTTCATCATGATTTGCATTACCTTTAATTCTATCTCGTACTCCTTACATTGTGTTAGTCTTTCCATTGCCGTTGTTCTTTTATTCCTTGCATCTTGCGTTGTAGTTGGAATTTCATTTGCCTTACCCTTCCTTTTTGCTGCTTTTTGTCCCATTGGACGCTCCATTGGTGATGATGAGTTAAATTCATAACTTCAAGTTGTATCTGGGTTCTCCGATGATGCCCCACTAGCAGAAGTCTTTGTTATTTTTGAAGAACTTCCAATCGATTCTCTCATCCATTTAGGTTCATGTTTTAACAATCGTCATGCATACTCAAGATTGAATGTTGTACCTTGATCCTGAGCAAAAAAAAGCATGTGCAGCGGTCATGATATCGTTCTCCGATGTCCCACTTTTTTTCCATTAACAGCTTGTTTGTAACACCCAACAAATTTTTGAACCAAGCCATTTATTCGATGCCATCGACATTTTAATTGTCCCCCTAACTTTTCCCGCTCTTGCCCACGATACTAGTTATAATTGGCAGCGATTCTTAACCAAAAACTCTCAGTCTTTTGATCAACTCCCACAATTGGATCCTTTGAAACATTGAGCCATGATTGGATAAGTTGTATATCCTCATCCCTTGTAAATTGCTCTCGAGATTTTTTTTTAACGACAACCCTCTCTTCTTTTTTAGTACCAATTTGAGTAGAAAATGGTGGAACTTGAGTAGAAAATTCCATACTATTAGAATTCATTTCAGGTCTAAGATACATATTTAGATTGTTTGGTGACAGGAAAAATATGGCGGGGGTTGTTGGTACCAATGGAAATTGAGAATTTTGAGGATTAGGATTTTGATAATTTTGCATGTAATTGAACATAGCTTGTTGATAATGAAAAATGATTAGGATTCATTTCGCCTAAACAATTGTAATCTGAAATAAAAAGATGAAAATTTGGGTTAAATATTTTGTCAAAAGAAGGCTAATGAGAAGAAATTGTTGGAAAAAAATTAAAAATTTATGAATAAAATGATGAAATTGTAAGATAGAAATTTGAAATTGAAGAGAAAATAAAAGTGAGAGAAAATTGTGTTGATAAATTTTTTTCTAAAAATTATATTTATAATAAAAAAATAAGTTGAAAAAGAAAATAGCTGTTGAACGGCTAATTTTAATATTTTAATATTTTAATATAAAAAGTTGATGAAATGTCGTTGCATAATTTTTATCCGTTGAACTGTAGCAATACTTTGGTTAAAAAGTTAGCTACCACGCTACCGAACTATGATGAAAAACCTCTGTTGGAAGTGGTCTAAGCAACTTTACTTTTGCATAGATTTAAGTTTCATATCAAGCTCCCTTATTTTTTCCTTATTCCATTAAAAGCATATACATTAACTATCCTATGCAAACATGTCTCTCCTATAATTTTTAACATAGGTGCCTAAAATTTAATAATCTCCTACCATTTATAATATAGATGCCTAAAATTTAATAAATTTTATATTATAGATTATTGACTGACCCACACAAGTGCACATACTTAAACAAATCATTTTTAAAAAAATATATATAATTTTTAATTTAATATTCTTTTTGTCCTATATCTTAACTTTAAGATTAATTTTGGCCTCTTAATTTTAAAAAGGTTCATATTGGTTCTTTAACTCTTCAAAACGTGTCATATTAGTTTTTTTTAATCATATTAACAATAGAAAAATTTAAAAATCAGTCGATAAATTCGTCACTAATTAAACAAAAGGATTAATTTAAAATGTTATGAAGAGTTAAGGGACCAAAATGAACCCTTTTAAAATTAAGGGACCAAAATAAATTTTGAAATTACGAGATAAAAAAAATATTAAGCCATGATTTTTTTGTCCACTTCATATTAAGTATCTCATATTAGTATTACTCTAATCCAACAACATTTTAGTTTTCATGAAAAAACATTAAAATGAGTAGTCTCAAACAAGGTGTTTTGAAACCGATTCCAACAATGTGATTTTATTATAAATTTATGTTCCAATTTCTCATTATACGTGATTTCATTATGAAAGTTATCTTAATGATGAAATGTCAGAAATCTTAATTATTATGTATTTCATAAAAGAGAACGAGACACAACCATTTAAAGTCATACAAAAAAGTAAGCATAAATGTTGCTCTCGATGTGCATGTTAGTACAATTGCACTGTATAAAGTAATTTTAACTGGTGTAAACACACGGGTATTTAACTAGTTATAAGATAATAATAATACATTTGAATGTAAAAGTAATCTAATTTAATCATGAGGTGTTAAATAATTCAATTCGTGTTAATCAACTATGAACCTATTAAAAATCAATTGCATGAATTTCCTAAATTCTCCTTTCATTATAAATTATTTACACTAAAAAAAAGACATTTAAGTAATTAAGTAACGTTTACTTTTTTCATTCTCATCTCTTATAATACAACATGACATGTGTTCAATATCAACAACCAATTATATATCTAATTGTTTCTAAGATTAACATATGACATTCATAGCCTTATTCTCTCTCGTGATTAAAATTTTAAATTTCTCTCATATTTCTTTTTTCTCACACTTTCTCATTTTTATTTTAATTTTTTTCTCTATTTATTTACTATCACTAAAAATACTAAAAAAATATTTTTAATTTTAATAAAATTAACAATTTATTTTATTCCACATAATATTATTAATATAATATATATTTTATTTTAATCCACTCTTAACTTAATTTGAGAGACAAAATCCTTATTTTGGAATATTAATTTTTCTTCTTTCTCAATCTCATGATTTCTTTTTATCTTTTAGTATGATTATTTAATATAATTAAATTTATATAATTATTGTTTATTTTATAATTAATTAAATCATTTTAAATTTTTCACGCGTATCTAAATGCATTTTATATCATATCAAATAACTTTTTTATCTCACAAGTTATTACCAACACAATATCTATTTTATTTTATGATTAAGTATATTATTTTAAATTTACAGTATATAAATATATTTTATGTTGTATCAAATGAAATTTCTATTTCAAAAATCACTAATACATATTTTATTTTTGTTTTTATTAATAATTATTATAATTTCTAAGATAAAATTTTTATTTTTAAATATTAAATATTTTTTTCTCTTACGAGTCCTTTCTTTAATATAATTAATTTTATATAATTATTATTTATTTTAAAATTAATAACTAATTTTAAATTTAAATACGAATTTAAATATATAGTTGAGTTTAATAAATATAAATTCATGTTCAATCTTTTCCAATATTAGTTATTTATTTATGTTTATACAAATATATTAACAATTTAAAAGAATTAATCATAAATTCTATATTCTAATTTATAACAACACAATGTGTTAAATTAAAATTTTTTGTATGGAGAAATTTACCAATTATGCATTTACTTTTTGTTGTTACAGAAGAAACCGACGGTAGCAAAACATGTAGTAATACACTTACACCTGGAAACGCCTAGTCATGAATCTCACGTGTCATAATATGATTGGTCACTGCTACGGAATCACCCAATAATAATTCTCCTGTGGAAAGAAAAAACCAGAGAACAAATTTTTATTCGGCGTTAAACTAACAAAATCTCAAATCTAAAAAGTTTCAAATTTTACATTCGGAAAATTAAATCCCTAAATTCTGAATTGTGCAAAAGTTTCAAACCACAATGGCAGAAAATCTTCCCGAAACGGTGTCGGTGTCGCTTCGTTCCCAACCTTCTCTTTCTCATCCATCTTCTTCATCTTCCTCTTCGCAGAAATCGCCACAAGATCCACCTCAGGTAGGTTTCACAATCTACTTCAATTCCACTTCCATTTCGCAGCTTTGGTTTCTAATTGTTGAATACCAAAAGTACGATCCCGTTTTGATATCATTGAACTGAAGCTAGGGTTTGCTGTTTTTATGATTATCGAATCTTTTGCTTGCTTTTTGAATATGTCTGAATGGAAATGTGCCATGAATTGTTTTTTTATTTTTTGTTGTTGTTGTTGTTGTTGTAAATTTATTTCTATAAATGGTAGTTATGATTTCTTCTGTTTATTGTAGCCTCAGGCTCCAGAACTTTCCAATTTTTCGCAATTTCCGGGTGGATATTATCAAATGTTTCCTGGTATTCACCCTGCATTGATTCCAGGGTTGACTCAACCACAAATTGAGGAACATGCAAACCGTGGAGCTGGCATATATGCTGTTCCTGTTAATCCTTTTGACAGACATGTTACCGGACTTCCATACACCACTCTGATTCCGTTGACATACCGCACACCCACGTAAGTGGCTATGTATTTTGTTACAATGCTATTAAGTAGTTATATATGATTGCAATTCATAGGTATTTCTACTCGTTTTGATACCTAAGCATATTTTGCAACTATATTGGAGTAATATATTTACACCTTTCTATAAGCTGTTATCGCACAGTTTAAAGGAATTTTCTACTTAAGTTGATGTTTTAAGCTTGTTTTGTAACATGGATATATTGGAAAAATACATTAGCACGTTTATAACTAAAATATTCCAGTTTTTATTTCCCTTTGGGTGAACTGTCAAGGATATGGTTGGTTAGAGAAATTTTTTTAAATTTGTATTCATGGTTGTCTGGATCTCGCTCTAACTCCCGAAATCGTAGGATCTTACGCTCCAGCAACCGGCCACTGATTTAAATGGCACAAAGATCGTGGGTTTGGCTGGAGCGTTGAACTCCTAGAGAAAGATCTTAAATCGTGGGATCTAAAGATCTTAAATCGTGGGATCTTGAGATCCCAACAATCCCTTTTTTTTTTTGTTTTTACCCGCTTCAGACCGTTTCGGTCAGGTCAGTAAACAATTGGATTCAACTTTAAGGAGTTGGTACAAAGTAGTACTTCTATTTCTTCCAAATTAGGTTTAATGGCTATCACTTGTCAAACATAAATGGTTTTATGGTGGCATCAAAATGGCCATTCATCTCTTCTTCTTTTTACTTGATTCAACTTTAAACTAGCATTAGCAGCATGCTATCCACTATAGTTACTTTGTATAGTTTTTAATTAAGTATGCATTATAATACATTCAAGTTAAATTGCATAACACAGACACAGGCTTTTCTCATGTAATGACTTCTAATGGGGGCATAAACCCAATAGTATGTAGGTAGGGTCTGTTTTAAGTTTTCCTTGTCAGAGTTTCTAGTAAATTAGTAATAGGTAATGTTTGCACATGGTTTCAGCATCTAAACATTCAAGGAAAATTGGAACTGATTCTGATTTTCTGGCAGCACTCATGACTCTTGTTGTCCTTGTGGGTTAACCTCAGATGTTCTTATATGATCTTTTATCAGTTATAGATGTACCCGACATTTGAAGTTTTTGGTTACATCTTTGATATTATATTTTTCATTCCATGAGTGTCATTCAGAGCTTCACTATGTGTATAATATAACTCATATCGGAACCTGATCTGATCTCAAGGAAATAAACAAAATGGACATTTTTAACAAAGCAATATGTTGGTGAACATTTGATTTTAACATATTTAATTTTTTGGAACAATGTATTCATTAATATTTATACTTTCTTTAACTGAATGGTCGATCATATTAGGCCCAGTTCTGAAGCTGCTGCTGCCGGTGAAAATCAGGGGCAAACAGCACAGCATCCTCAGCAGCAACAGGCTGCACCTCAGAGACAAGTTGTTGTTAGGAGATTTCAAATTGCATTTCAAATTGATTTGCTACTGATGTTGAAGCTGGCAGCTGTGATCTTTTTGTTCAACCAAGATGGATCAAGGCAGAGGCTTGTTGTTCTTGTTTTATTTGCTGTTCTTGTATATTTGTAAGTACTTATCCATTTTTCTTTAAAAAGGTATTTCTGCCTGCTAGGTATGCAATGTGAGATTGTTACGTTTTAGAACTTTAACTCTAACTCAGGAAATGATTCTGATATGGATCCCTTCCCATTTCTTATTTACTCCGTCAATATCAGTGCCATGTAATATCACTGAACTAGATATTGATTAGACTGTGAATGTAAGCTGGTATTAATCAATTGAGATGTGTTACAGATACCAAACTGGAGCTCTGACACCAATTATAAGATGGCTTTCACAAAATATGCAAAGAGCTGCAGCACCTCCTCGTCCACCAAGACCTGCGGCCAGGGCTGACAATGTACCTCCTGCAAGGTTGGAGGGCGACAATGCTGCTCCAGCAGGTATGATTTGCTTACTATTTTATTCAAATGATTTTGCGTATGCTTCTTTTGGTAAACATTAGTAATGATAAAGAGCTGATGCAGCATGTGGTGTAATTCTGGGAGTATGTTTCTTGGAAGCTTATGAGCTTCATTTTAACTATTTATTAATTTACTTTTGGGATGGATTTCCTTTTTCCAATATGCATGCACTGGTTTCTCTATGAAGGCACTTTTTAAGTTTCAATCACTTATTGACATGATTTACTGTTGCCTGTTATTAACTATTGGCAGAGGGTCAACCTGAAGCTGCCGCTGGGAACCAGCCTGCTAATGAAACTGACCGTGCAATTGAGAATGAGAACGGTGCAGAAGCTGACAGAGGCAATGATGGCAACCAGTGGTGGGGGATTGTAAAGGAGATCAAGATGATTGTTTTTGGATTTATCACTTCACTGCTCCCTGGGTTCCACAATCATATGGATTGACTCATGGACTATGGCAGTATGTCAGAAAATAGGAGGGATTCCTGAAATAAGGTGTATAGCAACAAAAGTTTTAAGTGTCATAATTAGTACATAGGTGCAACTATAATCCAACATACAAAAACATGGTGATAGTTTATCGAGTGCCATTTTTGTATCATTACTTGGATTGTTGATAGAACAGTTTTTCTGGCTTCCCTGGCACAGGAAGTGCTTTGTACTTCAGATGGGCCGTAGTTAATCCACCCGTGGTGTCTGTTTCAAACTTTACAATCTGTCAAGCCAACACATTTTCAATTTATCTCCAAATTTTCTTGTTAATCTAATTGTTTGAAATTTTTCGGGGGAAACATGCAGAAACATCCGCCAATCTAATTCACAAGCATCCTAAAAGTGTCATAATTCTTTAATTCATAAACAAATTCTGCAAAACACGAGCCATAGTGCCTGTCACTGTAAGAGTGGGGTAAACTGATTTTGGCTTCAACATTAACCCTCTAACTTCCATTTGAGATCTTTTCTTCTGAATTTTTGGATGGGATGGAGGTGGGTTGAAATGGTGAGACTTTGTGTATGTTTTATTCTAATTTTGGCTACCAAAATTGATTCTAGATTGTAGAATTGTTTTTAACATGTTTGGTTTGACTTTCGCAGAATTGAATGTCTTATAAATTGATTGGATTGTGTTAATATTTAAAAAGTGACACTCTGAATGGAATAATGGTGTGCTTGTTACTCTAAACCCAAGTAATCTTCATCTAAAGAGCTTCAATCACACTCTTCAACTTTTAGAAGCATACCATCAAAGTGCCAGTGAAATTACGAGAATATCAACTTGTTCTGTTATTCGAATGCTATTGCATTGATCTGAAAAGTTTTTTCTATAGAGAAAACCTGTGCCTGAGTCTTTAACTAAATTGCCCTTTTAATCGAAAAAATTGTAGCCTTTTTGTGTATAAAAAAAAATTGAACTAGATGTCTTTCTATACTTTCAGATTTATCAAGGAAGTATATTTTAAACTATTATTTTAATAAAATAAGGGTGATTCATTTATGAAATGTTGTGGTAAAATGCGTTCGAAAGCGTATTTTAAGAAAATTATTGGTTGAAAAACGTATTTTAAGAAAATTATTGATTTTTCACCGAAATGTCAATTGTAACCCTTTTTAACCCCTTATATACCATTAATCCATCTATTTAATTTTATCTAAAAAAACAAATACTCGTTATCACCATCAAACGAGAACTTTTATAAATTAAGGTCATTTAACGGAGATTCTCATAAATCAAACCAGATTTTTTTTTAATTTAGTTTAACTCAAAACCAAATAACAAAATTTTTAAAAGAGATATTATAAAATTTGCATACCAAAATCAAATACCTCATGAGTTAATTCAAGCCTTAAAATAAAAGTGAACAAGAAATAAAGAGAGAAAAGAGTATAGAGAGTCAGAAATAGTATCAAAAATATTTTTTTTTTGGTGTGAATGAAACGAAAAATGAGTCCTTTATTTATATGACAAAGTGTGTTTTAATAACGAAAAAGAATTCATGAGATTTTTAATGCTCATAATCGATTATGTGATAAAAATATGAAAGGTTTTTAAATGATGTCGTCACTAATCAATTATGACTTCCTCTAATTGATTATTAGGGTTAGAAATTGATAACTGGTTAATTTTAAAGGGCTAATTGATTATTCCATGTAAAAAAACACTCTTAATTGATTAGAATGAGTCTCTAATCTATTAGCTAGTCACAAAAAGATTTTCGGGTAGTTTTAACAAAATCAAAGAGGTTTTCCGATCATTTAAAAGTGTGTGATTTTCTTGAATAATTCAAGAGCTAATCTTATATGTTTACAGACACATATCACTCAACATGAATAAGGCGAGCTTTCAAACTTCTTTTTCACAATTCTGAAGATTGAAGATCTCTTACTTGATTCATTATTGATTGAACAATTCATACGAGACTTGACTTCTATCTAATGAGGGTTGATAAGGCTCCACAATAAACACTTTCATTAGAGACATTGCTTGACTTAGATCATCAAGGATTCCATAGAATGCCACTTGAGTAAGATACCAGCAGATCGAAAAGGTCGCTTTAACCCTCATCACCGCCGCACGCCGCCTCTGACTTTACTTCTTGGGCCACACCATTGTGCTCAGAACCGACCATCCTGTCAGGCAGCTCCTCGGCCGACCAGACATGGCTGGACGAATGCTGAAATGGTCGTTAGAACTATCTGAGTTCGACATCGTCTACGAAGGAAGGAAGGCCCTCAAAGCTCAAGTCCTGGCTGACTTTGTCGCCGAGATGACCCCCTCGCCAGACCCTACCATGGGGAGCCACAAGTGGACTATCTTCGTCGATGGCTCCTCAAACTCCACAGGCAGCGGAGCGGGCATCATCCTCGACAATGAAGAAGGCACCATCATAGAAGTCTCTCTGACACTGACCTTCCCGACGACGAACAACCAAGCCGAGTACGAGGCGTTTCTGGCCGGGCTTTGCTTGGCATCAGACCTCGGGGCCAAAGAAATTAAAATTTACACGGACACCCAGCTGGTCGCCTCACAAGTACGGGGGGAATACCAGGAGAAAAACGATAACCTCGCCGAATACCTGACACTCATTACCGAAAAAATACAAAGTTTTGACTCCGCGGAGGTTCAACACGTCCCACGCGAACAGAACACTCGTGCAGATATTCTCTCAAAACTAGCAAGCACCAAAAAGAGGGGCGGGCACAAGTCGGTCATCCAGGAGATCCTATCGCAGCCGAGCACGAAAAAGGCCGAAGTACCGCTCGACGTCAACGCCATAGGGGACATCAACTGGTGGATGACACTGTTGCACACCTACCTCAGCGTAGGCCGCCTCCCCGCCGATCCCAAAGAGGCCAACACGATCAAATGACGGTCCTGCTCGTACGTCCTTCTCGAAGACAAATTATACCTCAGAGGCTTCACGGCCCCCCTCCTCAAATGCATCGACACCTCCCAGGCCGCTGTCGTGCTGGAGGAAATCCACGAGGGCATCAACGCGCAACACCTCGGGGGACGATCCCTGGCAAGGAAGGCCCTGTGAGCAGGATACTACTGGCCATCGATGCAAGAGGGCGCGAGAGAGCACGTCAAGAAATGCGACAGATGCCAACGACACGGGGACATGCACCTCGCCTCACCGAGCGAGCTCAAGTCCCTCTCCTCCCCTTGGTCGTTCGCCTGGTGGGGGATGGATATCCTCGGTCCCTTCACCTTAGGCTCAGATCAGAACAAATACCTGGTTGTAGGCGTCGACTACTTCACCAAATGGATTGAGACCGAAGCCCTTGCCAAAATCACGGCCCGCAACATACTCTGATTCTAAAAAAAAAGTATCCTCGCAAGATTCGGTGTCCCACTCGCCATCATCACCGACAAGAATTTCCGGGACTTCGTCACCAAACTCGGGACCAAGCACCACTTCACCTCGGTCGAGCATCCTCAGACGAACGGCCAAGCCGAATCCACGAACAGGGTGATACTCAGAGGACTAAAACGAAGACTCGGCGACGCCAAGAGAGCGTGGGTCGAGGAACTCCATAACGTCCTATGGGCATACCGAACTACGCCTCACTCAACCACGAGGGAAACACCATTTTGCCTCACATACGGAATCGAGGCGGTGATCCCGGTCGAGATACGAGAGCCATCTAGACGAACGGAGGCTCCCCTCGAGGCCGAGGACAACGACGACGCCCTCTGAGAGGAACTCGACCTAGTGGAGGAAATCCGGTCGGGGGCAGCTATTCGAGAAACCTGGCTGAAATAACAGGTCGCACTTCGCCACGACAGAAGAGTCCTAAAACGCGAGTTTCAGATTGGCGACTTAGTCTTGCGGAGAAACCAGAAGGACTCCTGCGAGGGCAAACTAGCCGGAAATTGGGAAGACCCATATCGTGTCCGCGACAAGACGGAGCACGGGGCATATTACCTCGAAAACCTACACGGGGAACAACTAGCTCGACCATGGAACACCGAGAAGCTGAAACGGTACTACAGTTAAACACTGCCTGCGATGCCCAGGCGTCACTGATCGGTGGTTTTTACACGTTATTTTACAGTTTATTTTAGTTAAACATTTGTTTTGTCTTGTCGCATTTTAGTTGTTTTTATTAAATTTTACGCTTCGATTTGGTATTTTTACTGTTTCTAGGTTCAGGTATACAATAAAGGAGAAGCAGAGCGAGAACTGGGAAAAAATGGCAAGATTTCGGAAGAGTTTTGTTGTGAAATCTTTAGCAGTTTGCACGAAAACGATCATAACTGGAGTTCCGGGAATCCGTTTGAGGCGTTCTAAAAACCGCAGGAAAGCTAAGAGAAAGAGCTACGACTTTCGTGTTGGAGTCGAAGTCAAATTCGAAACAGGGGTGCAACACAGGTGCCCGTGTTGTGTGACACGGCCCGTGTTGCAGGATTTGCTCAGAAAAGACGATTTTTGGAGAAAAAACAGTGGCATAACACGGGTGCCCGTGTTGTGTGACACGGCCCGTGTTGTGACACATGGGACTTGCAAATTTCACGCGAAAAATCTTTCAGGAAGCCAACACGGGCGCCCGTGTTGCCTGACACGACCCGTGTTGCCTGACACGGCCCGTGTTGCAGGAAGTGTTTTTTCCCTATTTTTCTTGTATTTTTGACTCTTGTGATCCCCGAGGGAATTGTGGGTATTTCCCTAGTGATTAGTTTGAATTGAGACTATTTGATACGTGTTTGGAGAAAGAATAAGGATTTTGAACTTTTAAACGGAAAATAAATTGGACGAGAAAGATTGGAGCGATCAAGGATTTGGGAAACTGAAGGTCCTCATGAGCGGAAGCCATTGAAGATCAAGGCAACCAATTATCTTGTAATGTTTAGTCTTATTGTTGATTTTATCTTTATTATTATGAGTAGCTAAATCCCCCAATGCTAGGGGGTGTCCCTAAATTGACTCTGTAATAACCTTGTT